GTTCAGATATAGATATAGCTCCAATATATATGTTTCATCCAATTTAGTATTTAATTTCCTCACATTCGTAATACGCATTCGACAACAGTGATATTTGGTACCAGATGTCTTATAGAGCACGAAAATACCTCTGCCAAATTGTATCAAGATCGGTTTACATAAGGATTTAGCTCCCATATATATCTTCAACCGATTTCGGGTTTATTGTGCAATTCATGACTAGTGTCAGCCCAAATGCGGTGAATTTCTGGACGTACTTTACCATTTTGTAGAACTCAGCTGCGATATATATTTTTATACCCTCCGCCATAGTATGGAGGATATATTAAGTTTGTCATTCCGTTTGTAACACCTCGAAATATAATTTTTACGAAACGAACGAAATGAAGTAAGTTGATAAAAATTAACTTAAATGTGTATTATGTCTGCAGGACTTTTGGTATTGAAAATGGGCGAAATTATTTAACGGAACTCGTAATAGATGCTACAGCATGAGACAGAAAATGGGCTATGTAGGTCCACGTCTTCGTATAGCCACCATATAACGGTTCCCCCGATATTCGGTATTTTGATGATTTTAGGGACATTATTTACCGGAACTATTTCAAATTTAGTATGAATGAATACTACAGCCTATGACAGAAAATTGTCTGTGCAGGTCCGCGTCCTCGTATAGCACCCATATAACGGTACCCCCTGATATTCGGTATTTTGATGATTTTAGCGACATTATTTACCGGAATTGATTCAAATTTCGCATTTGAAGTTCGTAATGGATATTACAGGCTGTGACAGAAAATTATCCGTGCAGATCCACGTCTTTGTATAGCCCCCATATAAATGTACCCCCGATATACGGTATTTTGATGATTTTAGGGACATTATTTACCGGAACTATTTCAAATTTAGTATGAATGAATACTACAGCCTATGACAGAAAATTGTCTGTGCAGGTCCACGTCCTCGTATAGCACCCATATAACGGTACCCCCTGATATTCGGTATTTTGATGATTTTAGCGATATTATTTACCGGAATTGAATCAAATTTCGCATTTGAAGTTCGTAATGGATATTACAGGTTGTGACAGAAAATTATCCGTGCAGATAAACGTCTTTGTATAGCCCCCATATAAATGTACCCCCGATATACGGTATTTTGATGATTTTAGGAACATTATTTCAAATTTTGTATTTGAAGTTCGTAATGGATACTACAGCCTATGCCAGAAAGTTGTATGTTGCGCTTATGACAAAAGTTGCGTATGCAGGTCAACGTCGTCGTATAGACCCTAATATACGGCTACATTCGGCATTTTTAAGATTTAAAGAGATTTTTTAATCGATTTTAATTTTTTGAAAATTGCCAAATTTGACAAATGGTGGAGGGTATTGAAAGTTCGGCCCGGCCGAACTTCACCTTTTTTACCTGAATAAAAGATTAAAGTATCTCCGTCAAATTTAGTGAAAATTCAGAATTGGATATGCCTCCCATACCTCTGAAACCACACTGTAACTGCTATAAAGCCAAATGTTGATATGTGGTATGATTCACTTCAAATGGTATAGAGTCGGACTTTTAACTTTTCCTTTCTGGATTGTTATATCTTTGATATCTGATTAATTCACTTCAATGTAAAAAGATCAGAAATGCCCTTCGCAAGTATTTGCAATTTCGCCGGGAAGTGACTTTGCGCATTAAAAAATATTTGATGCTGCATAGACATTTTGGTATTTTTATACCCTACACCACAAGGTGGTCAGGGTATTATGTCTTTGTGCATTTGTTTGTAACAGGCAGAAGGAAACGAGATAGACCCATAGTTCCTTTTGATGATCTGCATAGAATCACATTCTGAGTCGATTTATGCATGTCCGTCCGTCCGTCCGTCTGTCCGTCTGTCCATGTATTTTTGTAAACAAAGTACAGGTCGCATTTATTACCCGATCCAGATGAAATTTTGCAAAGATCATTTGTTTGGCCCAAGGACGAACCCTATTGAAATTGGAGATAATCGGTCAAAATTTAGATATAGCTCCCATATATATCTTCGTCCGATTTGCCTGGAAATATGTATGCCAAATTTGATTGAAATCGGTTCAGATATAGCTATAGCTCCCATATATATTGTTCATCCGATTTGTTTTTTTTTGTCCACCGCCGCCGTAATATGCACTATGCAACAACAATATTTGGGGAAATATATCAAATACAGCTCAGAAATACATTTGCTAAATTTTATCGAGATCGGTTCAGATTTGGATATAGCTCTGATATATAACTTCGTCCGATTTACCTTATATTGTGCACCAAACGTCTAATATTTGCCCAAATGGGATGGAATTTGGCACATACGACCGAATTGAGTCTAGAAGCTAGTATGTCAAATTTGGTGAAGATCGGTTCAGATATAGCTATAGCTTCCATATATATTATTCATCCGATTTGTTATATTTGTTACCCACAACCTTAATATGCACTCCGTAACAACGATATTCAGGGTAATATATCAAATACAGCTCGGAGATACCTTCGCCAAATTTTATCGAGATCGGTTCAGATTTGGATATAGCTCCCATATATATCTTTATCCGATTTCAAATTAATTGTGCACCAAATGGGCAATACAATTCCGAATTTAAAATATACAAATGCTTCGGCATATTTAGTCCTTTGAACTTTGAATTATAATTATAACCATAGCGTGTATGATTGAATTCTCCCATAAAAACTTTTAATTGTTATGTGGAGCTCTACTTAATTAGCATAGTGGTGTAGGGTATCATAAAGTCGGCCCGTTCGACTTTAAGACTTTCTTTACTGGTTTTTTTATCCGATACCCATCCAAAATGGTAGACTTCTGCCCTGTCCTTGATATTAACCACTAGGAAAATTACGCGTCGATGGTCTACAAATTGATCTGTATTATTGATCCATTTTATACCATTGCCAGATTTTATGACATATGTGATAATGTTTGTAAAATGTCGATATATGTGTGGAGTACCATATATAGCGGACCGAAGCATTCTATTTACATATCATAAAATATGCACTCGAAGAAGTGCTCCGATATATTTCGTCTTCTACTGGTGTGGTGTCACTTATAGATAATGGAATGTGTGAAATTTGAAGAGAATCGGGTGCTTATTTTGCTCTTCATGGGATATATAATTTTAAAAATTTAGACCGTTATATGGGAGGTACCAGAAGGAGTGGACCGATCTATCTCATCCATATTTTGAATATGTAGAAACATTGTGATGCGCAAAACTTGAAGACAATCGAACCCTTATTTATGAGAGTTATGACTATTCAAAATTTTTTGTTAAAATTTCCAACGAAGACGGTACATACAGGGTGAGATGAAAAAACTACCACTCGTCCGACAGCTATTAAAATATGACAGTGAGAGCTCATATATTGATTACAAGCGTACAAAAGCATTTTGGTGAGAATTTTCCAGAAAAAAAGTTTTTCGTGATGGAATTTAAAAAAATCACAAGTGGCTATCGTTAGAGCACTCCAGCACTAAAATGTAAATAAATATTTGTGCCTCGTAGCATCGCTCATTGCCGTGATACTGGTAGCGTAACCCGACGTCAAGGAAGTGGACGGAAGAAAACAGCAAAATCAGCAGAAATGGTTCGAAAAGTAAAAAAAACGACTTGATCAAAACCCGCGTCACAGTGGCCGAAAAATGGCTCGTGAGCTGAACATATCGCAATATTCCGTTCGGCAAATATTGAAAAATGAGATCGGGATAAAGCCATTGAAATTTCAAAAAGTGCAAGAACTTACACCGCAACGGAAAGAAAAAAGACTCAAAAGAGCTAAAGAGTTTCTTCGCTTGGTCGAAAGCCCAATTTGGTTTTCTCCAGCAGTTTGTAAACAAACAAAATGATCGTGTTTACTTGCCAAAGAGGTCAGCTGAAAATGTGCACCTTCGGTTGGCCACCAGAACTCAAGCGGCGGCCGTGGTGATCGTGTGGGTCGCGATAACAGCCGATGGTCGCTCTCGCTAGTATTAATCGACCGTGGCATCAGAAAAAATGCCGAATATTATCGCGAAAATATTCTGGAGGGTGTATTACAGCCTTGGGCACGCAAACATTTTGGCCAGTCCAACAGGACTCAGCACCATCGCACTCAGCATGTAGTGTGCGCCTTTAAAAGGGGTAACCCTGAAAATAATTGATAGCTAGAAGAAGAAGAAGAACAATTACTAAAAAACAGCTGATTATTCCAATTACTTAAATGTCAATATTAGGGAATAATGTAAAAAGAAAACGGAAAAATTAAGCGATTAAAATGGCAGCCTGAATTTCCTGGTAAAAATTGTAAGAAAAATCTGTCCTTTTTGATTTTGCCTGCGAAGAAGATTGGATGCGTGGCTCCCTGTAACCAGCGAAGAAAAAAGCAGACAAAGTTTTTTGGTGATGAACCACTTGTTGAGAAGTGAATTCAATGTTTTTATTTGTTTGAAACACCTATTCTAACAACACGAAATACAAACTTTTTTTACAAAATTGGAAGCCTTAAAATAATTAAGCAAAATTTAACAACAAAAGGCTAAAAGTTGAAAGAAAACTTATAACAAAACAAATAATTTTCACAAAAAATTGAAAATTAAAAGAAAAATTGAACTTATTTTAAAATTAAGCAAAGTTTGGAAACAATTTAACCAAATTGAAAAAAAAAAAAAAACAATTAACTAAAAATCTAAAGCAAGAAAATAAATCTTAAACCTAAAAATTCATGAAGAATTGGAGCCTACAAGCCACACCATCGCCCATCCAATCCATCGAGGGAGCCGCTGAATTTGCGCCATTGCTAACCCAGCGTGGCTTGGTATTCCCAATCGACATTTAATACAAGAAACCTCGGACAGACAGACGGACGACGAAGCATCATAATTAAATTCCGCCGTTTTTCTGTAAAAAAGGAACAATATGAATTAGAAGGGGAAACAAATGAAGTCAATTTTAAATTATAATCACCTTTTGGTTAGTCTGCAGGTACACGACGTTGAACAGAGCTCTATTCAAGGTTAGGTAACCAGGCTTTTAATCCGTTCGTCGATTTTAAGTGCTATCGACACTCCACCTTTGTTTGCCTTTCCTGAAATTAAATGAAAGAAATATAATTAATAAAAATTCAACAGGGAATATAATTAAAAAAGCTAAACTTTAAAACAATACTTACGTACTTACTTGTTGGGAAGAACCACAATTGCAAGCTGCCTTCATTGCATCCTAATTTTTGTCTTCAGAAAGCGCAGTTTAAAGAAGAAAAAGTAAAGTTTTTTTTGTAATTTTTGGTAAAATTGTATTTATTCATTGAATTGAATTCATTATTAAATTTGAACGCAAACGTTAAAGTTAGCATGTAATTTTTTTACGAATTGTTATTTGGGTATTTAAAGTATTTTAAATAAAAAACCAATTTTATATAGAAAATATGAATATGTCCTTGGCTTAAAACCCTTTTTAAAAGGTGGTGGTAATGATATAAAATGTGGTAAGTCAAGGGTCAGATCTGGGACGTCCAGTATGAGTAGACGTCAAGGCGAGAGGTGTTCTCGGAGGGAGGGCTATCTCCTGGCTGGTCAGCCGCCAGGAACACTGTTTCTGTGGTAAAAACTAATGTAAGTTTGGAATTTGGTTGTAGTTAGGTGAACGTTTTCTTCTTTTTAATTTTTTGTTGACATGTTTCAGGCTTCTTTCTACCCCCTTTTTAATTTAGTTTGAAGTCCGGTATGATTTTTTTTTGTTTGTTCAACCGAAAAGATCTGCAAGTGGCAAGAACCTACCCCCAATCTGACGAGCCATAGCCGCGCTAAACGCCAGCATACCGGCAACGGTTGAACACGGTTGTTACAAGCACGCGCGACCCAAGAATGGTTACAAAATGAGGTTCATCGCTTCATTTTCAGCGCACAATGGCCACCAAAATCTCCGGATACCAATCCGTTGAACTATTGTGTCTGGAGTAGTTTGGAAAGCAAGTTTGGCACTAAAAAATCCTGAAGTGTCGATCACCTCAAGCAAGCGCTTCGCCGGGAATGGGCCAAAATACCGCAGTGCAACATTCGGGCAGCTTGGTTTCATGTCCGTTTGAAGGCCACAATTCGTGCCAACGGTAACCAATTCGAACAAATCTAAACGTATTCTAATATTTGAAGCTATTTCTGAAATTTTTGGCTTTCATTCAATAAATTTTAAAAAAATGTAAAAATCATGGCGTTCGACTTTGTTTTTTTTTATCTCATTCTTTACATAAAGTGCGTGGATTTCAAGAAAAACAATCAACCAAAAATTGCAAAAAAAAAAAAAAAAAAGTGGAATAGAGGGGCTCCTTTCCCCAATGGCAATGTAAACATTAAAAATGCTGCTACACCTGTCTTATATTTTTAGCTCTAATTTCATAACCCCCTTAGGTTTTACTGTAATTATTGATGAAAAAATTTAATTTTGTAGCTCAGTTTATTTGAAGACTTTTTTCTCTGCCAAAATCAAAATTAATTATTAATTCCCCGAAAAATATCTTACGAATTTCCACCGAAAGAGTGGAACTGGGTTGACACATCGTTTTTTTTTTTTTGACATGTCAACTTCTGTCAGCCAAGTGTTTTCCAACATTCAACTCAAATGCTACACAATACAACACCCGATATACGCACGAATAAAACGACGTTTAAGCGCTTTCAATGGAACCGAGGATGGGAGTGTGCGTGTGTGTGTGTATTCCTCTTCAGTATTAAAGTCCTTTTATGTTCGTTTAGGGATATCTCTTTCCCTCGTTAACAATGTGTTTGTGTGACAATCAGCAATTACACTCAAGTGTATTTGCCAAAGCCAGGGACAATGTTGTCTGTTCACACCAATAAAAATCTGTGTCACGTCCGTTAATGTCGGTTGCGAGGGGGTGAGGTATGGTGTGGTGTGGTGTGGTAAGGGGAGAGAAGAGATGACAATTGCCAGTTTTTATCAGCTTTTAAATCAAAAGCGCAAATCTCTGATAAGTTTTGTTTTGGGGTTCAGTTTTTTTTGCGAATTAAAATAAACACACCCAGCCATTACGTGGTTCGAGTGGAATTACCAAAATTAGGCTGAAAATTAAATTAAAGAAGCTTTTATTTAAATTGCTAAATAAGAAATAACGTTTGCTTTGTTTGTTTAAAAAAACCCGAAATGGTGAAAAATTCTGAAAGCATTCACGGCGAACCAAAGTTTATCAGTGAATATCTGAGTAAACGTGATATGGATAAGGAATACGTAAACTAATTGCGAATTATGTGGCACGAAGAAGTGTTTGCAGAAAATTGCGAGGGGAATTTACAAGGACATGCATACGTGCATATATTATGCTGTATTTTTGGAGTCGTATATTCGAGATGAAAAAAATATTTCGTTAATTTAAGTGTTGTCTACATTTTGTGGTCTACCCGGAGTTCTCAATAACGTCTCGGCTGCAAAGAGAAATCAAATTTAAGTCCTCGATTAAGATCTTTAGCAGTATGGCTATCTCTGTGAAAGACAACATCCTCTGGGTCAATTTTTTTGGAATATTTAAATTTTGTAATTAGTAGAACCACATCCTTGTAAAATTATTAGTTCGATATACTTTTTAAATAGTTTAACGACAGATATTCTCTGGAATTTTTCCATTTCAGCTTTTGGCATTTTTATACCCTCCACCATAGTATGGAGTTGTCATTCCGTTTATAACACCTCGAAATATATAACACCTCGAAATATGTAACACCTCGAAAATTCAGAATGTTGTAATTTCTAAGCCACTCGTCCGACAGCTGTTAAAATCATTCCAGCGACAGGTCATTATATTGTCTACAATTGTACAAAAGCATTTTGATGAGAGTTTTCCGGAAAAAAAGTTATTCGTGATGGAATTCAAGCGTGACTGTGTGATTTCTTTATATTTGGCTGGAAAACCACAAGTGGCTATCGTAGAGCACTCCGGCATTTAAATGGGAATAAATCTTTTGTGTCTCGTACCATCGTTCGTTACCGTAATACTGGTAACGTAGCCCGACGTCAAGGAAGTGGACGGAAGAAAACAGCAACATCAGCAGAAATGGTTCGAAAAGTATAGAAGCGACTTGATCGATACCCGCGTCGCAGTTGCCGAAAAATTTCTCGTGAGCTGAACATTTTGCAATATTCCATTCGGCAAATATTGAAAAATGAGCTCGAGGCCATTGAAAGCCATTGAATTTCCAAAAAGTGCAAGAACCTACACCGCAACGGAAAGAAAACAGACTCAAAAGAAAATAAAGAGTTGCTCCGCTTCGCCAAAAGTGGTGAACTGCCGAATTTGGTTTTCTCTGATGAGGAAACATTCGTTGTCCAGCAGTTTTAAGACAAACAAAATGATCGTGTTTACTTGCCAAAGAGGTTAGCTGAAAATGTGCACCTTCGGTTGGCCACCAGAACTCAAGCGCCGGCCATGGTGATGGTGTGGGCCGCTACAACAGCCGATAGTCGCTCTCTGCTCGAATTAATCTACCGTGGCATCAGAATAAATGCCGAATATTATCCTGAAGATATTTTGAAGGGTGTATTAAAGCCTTGGGCACGCAAACATTTTGGCCATAGACTTTGGACATTCCAACAGGACTCAGCACCATCGCACTCAGCACGCGCCATCTAAGAATGGTTACAAAATGAGGTTCGTTGCTTCATTTTCAGTGCACAATGGCCACCAAAATCTCCGGATACCAATCCGTTGGACTATTGTGTCTGGAGTATTTTGGAAAGCAAGGTTGGCACTAAAAAATACCGAAGTGTCGATCACCTCAAGCAAGCGCTTCGCAGGGAATTTGAAAAAATACAGCAGAACAACATTCGGACAGCGTGTGACGGCTTCCTTGGTTTCCGACATTAAAAAAAAAAAATGTAAAAATTATGGCGTTTGACTTTGTTGCAGTTTTTTTATCATACCCAGTATTCTTGATCAACATAAAATTCTATGTCGATTTTGCGACGTCCGTCCATCCGTCTGTGGAAATCACTCTAGCTTCCGAACGAAATGAAGTGGGTTGATAAAATTTTACTCAAATATATATTATGTCTGTAATACTTTGGTATTGAAATGTAGGTCCACGTTTTTGTACAGCCCCATATAACGGTACCACCCGATCTTCCGTATAACGGTACTTCCGAATTTCGGTATTTTGATGGTTTTAGCGACATTATTCACCGGAATTGCTTCAAAGTTCGAAATGGATACTACAGCCCATGACAGATTATTGTCTGTGCAGGTCCACGTCTTCCTAGAGCCCCCATATAATGGTACATCCCAATCTTTGGTATTTTTATAATTTTAGCGTCATTATTCACCGGAATTGTTTAGAATTTGGCATTTAATGGATACTACAGAAATTGGATGTGCAGTTTTACTTTTTGGTATAGCCCCCATATAGCAGTACCTCCTTATATTCGGTATTTTGATGATTTTAGCTAGATTATTCACCGATTTTTTTTTCAAGTTTCATATTTGAATATTGTAATCGCTTCTGACAAAAGATAATAACTCATATTTCAGAATTTTGGAAAGGTTGTAGTGTCAACTATAAATTGGAATATTTTTTGTGGACTCCAACCTGGGCTTTTTCGACTTTCCATTGATTGTTTTAGAAATCTGAGTTCAAAGCCATCAAATGATACCCATATTGTCCATATCGGTTTGGCCTGATGTCGGTTTGGGTCTATCACGGGTCTTGAACCAATAATTTCGGATCAAATATCCGGGCATCCGAGTCCGTCCTCTAAGAAATCACTGAGTCAGTTTAGGAATACCTATCTCTCGAAAAGTTTAAAAAGAATCCGAGAGTTTTTACTAAACTAGAGTTAAGCCAAATTTGTTTTATAGTGCTGAGATCTAGTATTCTAGTGGTGTCGTGTATATTATTATGAATTTGAAAAACCAAATTTCAAAATATTATGTTGAAAACACAACAAACTACCGAAAGAAGTCATCTAGGTCCACGTCTTCGTACCAGGGGCCATATATAACCTAGGTCTACGTTATCATACCTTCCTCGGCACTGGTAAAAATTTGCAAACAGGGTCTTATTTCATATTGGTGGACTCCACAAGGTCCATAGATCACTTGAGCCTTGTTTTCGTACCTCCCCTGTAGCTGGTAAACATATCCAAACTGGATACTATTCCAGGACCGCTTGGACCATATGCCACATACCTCCCCTGTAGCTGGTCAACATTTATAAACAGGGTCTTATTCCGGGAACGCGTGA